ATACGTGGACCAACGGCAGGGGAAAGGTGCGGCCTGATATAAAGAAGTGGAGCAATCCGCCACCGGCATAGGATGGCCGATGGCAGCAGCAGGAACGCAAACGGGGCCGATGGGGGGGCGAGCCTCGTTGGCGACCCCGGCGGCGCAGTCCTTCTTCTTAGCCTTGGCCGGAGCGATCTTCTTCTCATTCTTGGGCCTCGCCGAGCTGCGCCTGGGGCGCTCGGGGGCGGGAGTGAGCGGCGGCGGCGGCGGCGGGGAGCGAGGGGGCGCGGCGGCGGGCGGCGGCGGGCGGCGTCGCTCGGGGCGGGTGGCCGGAGGGGGAGGGAGAGGTGCGGTGCAGCCACAAAAGGCACAAGGCTGAAGCTCTCGACGGTGTTGAGGGAGGAGGGGCGGGGCGAGGGAGGGACGGGGGGCTCCTCAGTCTTCATGTCGGCCTGCGGCGCGTCCTTCTCCTCGGTCTTCTCCTCGTCGGCCGTGGTGAGGAGCGCAAAGGAGTTGGGGTTGGGCCGGTGCTCGCCGGCGGTCTCCTTGCTAGCGCTGATCGGGGACGCCATGAACGTGTATGATCGCTTCTGGGGTATAGGGTTCTTGTGCCGAGATTTGAGCCGAGATTTCTAGATTTTTGCAACGCCAGGAAGCTCGCCTTCCGTGCCTGCGGCCGTCGCTCGACGGGAGCCTGTCCAGTATGCTCTGGGCATGCTGTACAGCATCGCCAACTCTCTGGGAGGGTCTACAGGGACAGGGCGGGCCGTCTCGGGCACGATGGCGCGCTCAATAGTGTGTATATGCTCGGAGCCGCCCGCCAGTCGTCATCAAGCTCGGTTTTCTTTCCAAATTCTTTACTTTACCACCTCTTCAAGTGTCTGCCGAATTGGTGGACGGAAGCACTCGGCAGGTGCGAGGTGGCGCGGAGTGCACCTGCCTCAGGGCTCAGGCTGTGGCTCAGGGGCCTCAGGCCTCCCAGGGCGTCCTTGGGAGATGTACCGTGGTGCGTGGTACCGACCGAATGCGAATCGCGAATGCTTGAGTGACAAAATCAAGATTTTGTAAACGCGTCTCTCAAATGGAACTAGCCTGATAGCGCCCCGGGTTAGTCTCGGGTTAGGCTTGGGTTATGGCTCGTTCCGCCCCTCTCACGTAGACGCCTCTCAGCCTGCCTCATTTCAGGGCTCAGGGGTACAGCGGCCTTCTCTGGTAGGACGGGAACGAGATGATAGTAGGGAGTAGAAGAAAGCAAAGAGGAGCCCTGCGCACGCACGACTCCGCAGGAGAAACCCCTCCCGAGCGGCCGGACGGCCGCGCGCGCACCAGCAATATCAGTAACCAGCCTCCGGCGGGGCCCCCCGCTACCATCCAAACCCGAGTACCCGTCTATCATAGATAGAGGCTCAAGTGTGACATAAGTCCGCACACACATACGGCGTATCATACGACATACACACATAGACATACACAAAGCAACTCTCACGACACACGGGCACCGGGTGGAGCGGCGGCGGCGGCGGCAGCAGCACGCGCGGGCGGACGGATTCGGACGGGGCGGAGCAGCGACCGCCTGGGCGGCCGCTGCTCTGTCTGCCAGAGCGCGCGCCGTCTGCGCAGCTCGAGCGCAGTCAGGTGCGGGGACGCGTGGCGGCGCGGGGAAACGCGGCGGCGGTGGCGGCGGCGGCGGCGGCAGCGGCACGCGCGGGCGGACGGATTCGGACGGGCGGAGCAGCGACCGCCTGGGCGGCCGCTGCTCTGTCTGCCAGAGCGCGCGCCGTCTGCGCAGCTCGAGCGCAGTCAGGTGCACAGGGAAGCGTGGCGGCGCGGGGACGCGCGGCGGCGGTGGCGAGCAGGCGAGCGGCCCGCGCGCGGCGAGGCGGACAGGTGATCGGCAGGCGGGTGATGGGCCGCAGAGTGACCGCGCCCAGCGATCGGAGCGAGCCGATCGTCGCTCGGCCGCAGCTGACCTCGAAGGCGTGCGGAGCGCGACTGTCGGTGTCGGAGGGCGGCCGTCATGTGGCGAGGAGGGAGGACGACAAGTGCGCGGCGTACGGGTCGCTCTTCATCGGCCAGTCGAGCGGCACTCAAGTCGAGACCGAAGGAAAGCATGACGGGTTTGATCGGCACTTCAAACGCCCGAAATCTGCTTTGGCGCCAAAGCTTGTGACGAGGTTTGCCACGAAAGGGGGCCCTCTGCTAAAATGGGTTATGGAGGCGGAAAAAGAATCCTCGCCGGACTCCTTATGTTTTCGTAAACGTAGTCGTGGCCCCCCGCTACGTCGCACGAGTGCAACCGGGTAGCGGGGGGCTATTACCATACACATTAGTGACCGAAACTAACTGACCTCGGCATGCAGTCACTCAGTCACGCGAGAACCTCCTCGAGGTCAGCCATTGCGAGGGCTGCATGTGTCGATGTGTGGAGACGTACTTCGGGTGGTGCGCAAGTCGGCTCCAATACTCGACCGCCGACCGCAGGCGAAGCCAGCGGCGCACTTGCTGCCAGAGTACGTAGCCGTTCGGGCGCGCTGCCTCACACCGCCGGCAGCAGGACATTTGCCGAAGCAACCTCGGTCCCCACACCGCGTCTTTGTGGTTGTACTTGCGCTCCGGTCTGCTGTCGAAGCACCATGTCACAAATTCTTTTATGTCCCACCATGCAGAGCGCATCTCTCTCTCTGTTGTGCGAGGCGTGAACCGCGCCATTCGCTCTCACCTGGCAACCCTGTCTGCACGTCTCGCGCGCGCGTGAACAGGGCTCCAGGCCCCAAATTACGTGTGAGTGTTAGAGTTGTTTGGTATTGCTAAAAATCTCTCTCTCTCAAATTCGGGGCGGAATGTGTCTCTTGTTTGTTCTCCGGATAAATGAAATGCTGTCTCTTCGCTCTCGAATCGGCGGGGAAACTGTAAAAGAGTTCTTAAAATACAAGCCTCTCTCACAGCACACTGGCACGACAAGGGCGCGGACTGGCGCGGACTGGCACAAACACCGGCTAGGTAGGTAGGTAGAAAGGTGAAGAACAGCCAGGCTCGGACTGGACACCAACGCGGTATGGGTGGACGCTAGACAGATGATGACGACACGCACGAGCGACACACAGACACAAACAAGCTCACAAGACACACAGCCAGCTGGCTGCCACACACCCTGAGTTGGCGTACACATAACTCAAGGCCACATCCTCCCTGTCGCCCCCCCCAGCACTCCAAGGTGCCAAGAGAAACAAACAAGGGCACAACAAACAACAGACGACAGGAAGTGATATGTGAGGCTAGAGCAGCATGCTCCACCTCTAGCAATCTCTCCGGCCGGCGAGGCACGGACGAGACCGTGTGTGGGGTCTAAGTGAGGTGTCTATGGATGCTCTCCTCACGGGCTAGCTGCCTGCGGCTAGCCTTCTCTCGCACTCACGGACAGTGACAATCAAATGGGTGAGTGTTTGCGAGCAGAGGCGCGTGGGCTAAATCTAGGCCGCACGTCGTGGCACTATGACGAAGTTAGACGTGCGGCCGCAGCGCGCCCGCCCCAGGCTCGGCGGTGCGCGCGTGTTAGCGAGAAAGTTGCGGGTAGAGCCGTTCCCGACTTGTCGAATGCGAGGCCTCTGCGACGAGTGCCAGTCGTGCTGCGGAGCCACGCCCTTCGAGCCGCGTCCCGTCGGCACTGTCCCCGAGTGGTCCCGCCTTGGCGGCACACACTCTCGACCAGGACAGTCCTGCTGACTAAATCTAGGCCGCACGTCGTGGCACTATGACGAAGTTAGACGTGCGGCCGCAGCGCGCCCGCCCCAGGCTCGGCGGTGCGCGCGTGTTAGCGAGAAAGTTGCGGGTAGAGCCGTTCCCGACTTGTCGAATGCGAGGCCTCTGCGACGAGTGCCAGTCGTGCTGCGGAGCCACGCCCTTCGAGCCGCGTCCCGTCGGCACTGTGTACCGGCTCAACCTACTGTAAAAAAGAAACCTCCCAAGGCCGCCCCTCCTTCTGGTGGAGCCGCTCGTTCGGTCGCGCGCTGCAGGAAGGACCTGCGTTGGAAGGCATCTGTTGCGAGAGATCGGTTGATTGCAGGCCCAGAGCGTACCCACTATGCTGTCAGCCACGTCGCACCAGCAGTCGACCTTCCTACGGGACGCGTTTACGCAGCTGGACACTGTCGTCCAGCGGAAGCGCGAGGCGGCCGAGGCGGGAAGGCCGAGTGGACCCGACCTGCGACGATCGCAGCAGGCGCGAGCTGCCGTCGCGCCGCCGCGCCGCCACTCTTCTTACGCCCCGTCGCCCTCCCGCCACCGACTTGCGAGACCCGCCGCCGTCGAGCTGAGGCCGCCGCCCGCCGCCCGCCGCCCGCCGCCGACTGCCCGCCGCCGCCCGCCCTCCGTCGCGCCTGCCTGGCGCCTCAGGTGATCCAGCGTTGGCTCGTCCTCTTTGCGAGGCAGCACCTCCACGCCATCTGCAACAAGCTCATGACGGTGGCAGACGCGAGCGACAAGCAAGACGAGGCGCTCGCCGCCGAGAAGAACCCGCGCCGCAAGAGGCAGGTGCTCCCCTCGCTCTCTGCAGGAGGCGGCGGCGGGAGCGGCGGGAGCGGCGGCGGCGGCGGCAAGACCAACGTCACCCTCTCGACCCGGATGCCGTTTGCCGCAAAGCCACCGCCGCTCCCCGCCGTCGACGCGACAGACACCGTCGCCTTCTTCCTCCTCGACTGCCTGCGCCGTGTGCTCGCCGCGGCCGCCGACGTCGAGGCGCTGCGCGGGAAAGGCTCCGGACTCGGAGGGTACAGCCCCGCCGCCGACGCTACTTCTCCCGGCAGTCGCGACCACGCGCGCCGGCCGATGGGCCACCTCGGACCCGGAGGTGGGGGAGAGATGGGGAGATGTGTGGGGAGGTGTGGGGAGGTGTGGGGAGGTGTGGGGAGGTGTGGGGAGGTGTGGGGAGGTGTGGGGAGGTGTGGGGAGGTGTGGGGAGGTGTGGGGAGGTGTGGGGAGGTGTGGGGAGGTGTGGGGAGATATAGGCCACCTCGGATCTGGAGGCGGAGATGACTCGAGATGGCCTGAGATGACCCGAGATGACCCAGGAAAAGAGAGGCCCCGAGAGGCCCCGAGAGGCCCCGAGAGGCCCCGAGATGACCCGAGATTTGGACCGCGGCTGCTCCTGTCTCTAGGCGCGCTCGAGTCAGGTGGCATGTCGAGTGCCGGCGACGCGCTCGCGCCGCTGCGAGGTGCGCCCGACGGCTTGCTCGCCTTTTGCTACGGCCGGCTGCACGTCGGCCAGCCTGCGCCGATCCAGCGGCTTGCGTGCGAGTGCGTGGGCATCTTGTCGCTCGTGCGCCTCTCGCCGTTCGTCGGCATGCTGATCGCGGGGCTCTCCAAGGCCTCTTCCGAACCCACGTCCCACCGCCCCCCGAGACCACACCGAGAGCACACCGAGACCACACCTCCCGAGATCGCCCGAGATCGCCCGAGATCGCCCGAGATCGCCCGAGATCGCCCCCCCCCCCCCTCTGTCTCAGGTCTCTTCCGACCGCGACGAGCGAGAGTGGGTCTCGTACCAGCGGGGAGCGAGGCACATCCACCTGTCGACTCACTCGGCGGAGCAGGCAGTGGCTGTCTTACCCCCCACCCCTG